TTATAACAGTAACTAAAGAACAACACTCAAACACAGGGGAACTCCAGACAAGAAACAATTGAGAACAGCTAATAATATTTTTGTTTTTTGTCGTGTCAGGAGCAACCTGAGAAAACTGCAAGTCGCTTCTGGTGTGAGAGAATAATAATAATAATAATAATAATAATAATAATAATAAATTTTATTTGTACCCCGCCACCATCCCCCCGATGGGGACTCGGGGCGGCTTACATGAGGCCAAGCCCAAACAACAATTACATAAAATAAAACCGAAAATGCAAATAATAAACAATAATAATGTCATTACATAACCACCTCTCAACAAACGATTTCCCCAGGAAGTAACAAGCCACACTTGCCAGGCCATCAAATGCTAATCACAATACAACAATAATAATATGATATTATAATTATATATTTATATTACATGTAATATTACTAATAATCTATATAAATAAAAATGTAATGTTTGTTTGTGGGATTAACATAACTCAAAAACCACTGGCGAATTGACACCAAATTTGGACACAAGACACCTAACAACCCAATCTATGTCCTTCACTCAAAAAAAAATGATTTTGTCATTTGGGAGTTGTAGTTGCTGGGATTTATAGTTCACTACAATCAAACAAAGATCATTCTGAATTCCACCAATGATGGATTGAACCAAATGGCACACAGAACTCCCATGACCAACAAAAAACACTAGAAGGGTTTGGTGGCGTTGACCTTGAATTTGGGATTTGTAGTTCACTACATCCAAGAGAGCACTGTGGACTCAAACAATGATGGATCTGGACCAACTTGGCACGAATACTCAATGTGCCCAAATGTGAACACTGGTGGACTTTGGGGAAAATAGAATATTGATATTTGGGAGTTGCAGTTGCTGGGATTTAGAGTTCACCTAGAATCACAGAGAATTTATTTATTTATTTTGAGGATTTCTACCCCGCCCTTCTCAACCCCCTAGGGGGGGACTCAGGGCAGAGTGGGGTTCAGCATTCTGAACCCCACCAACGATAAAATTGGGCCAAACCTCCCACACAGAACCCCCATGACCACTAGAGTGGGCCACAGCAACGCGTGGCAGGGGATGGCTATATAATCTATAGGGGACGGCTATATAATTTATATAATCTATATAAATAAAAATATAATGTTCATTTGTGGGATTAACATAACTCAAAAACCACTGGGCGAATTGACACCAAATTTGGACACAATACACCTATCAGGCCAACAAGTGACCATCACAAATAAAAACACTGAAAAACACAGCAGAAAAGACTTAAAAAGCCAATAAATATATATATATATATATATATGCAAATACACATATATACACAGATATATATATACACACACATATACACACACAAAACACATATACACAGACTGGGCCACAGCAACACGTGGCAGGGGATGACTGGCTAGTATTACAATATAATGGTATAGTACAATATAGTAATATGTAATACTGATATTATACTATACTAATAACATAATATATTGTATGTATATATATCTTGTAAACTGCTCTGATTCCCCTTCTGGGTGAGAAGGGCAGCATATAAATATTATAAATAAATAAATAATAAAGTTGGCCAACTGAAACATTCACACCTACCTCAAGCAGACAAGAGTTCTTTCTCCCACCCTGGACTTTCCACAATATATATAAGCCCCACTTGTCTTGTTTAAAACACACCTCACAACTTCTGAGGATGCAGGTAAACATCAGGAGAGAATGCTTCTGGAACATGGCCATACAGCCCAGAAAACCTACAACAACCCAATAATTGTGGCCATGAAAGCCTTCGACAATACATTGGTCTGTGTGTTTTTGTTCCTTTCATCACTGAGCCCCCAGTGGCGCAGTGGATTAAACCCCTGTGCCGGCAGGACTGAAGACTGACAGATCGCAGGTTCGAATCTGGGGAGAATGCAGATGAGCTCCCTCTGTCAGCTCCAGCTCTTCATGCGGGAACATGAGAGAAGCCTCCCACAAGGATGGTAAAACATCAAACATCCAGGCGTCCCCTGGGCAACGTCATTACAGACAGCCAATCCTCTCACACCAGAAGCGACTTGCAATTTCTCAAGTCGCTCCTGACACAACAAAAAAAAATCACTTTGGGTTATTGGTGCTGGGTCACACTGCTGCTAATAAGTTACTCTGCTGTGCATTTATGAGGAGGGTCTTTGTTGTTAAGCCCGCTCACCCAACAGGATGTTAACTGCAAAACAAATTTTGTGCAGTTTAATAAACTTTTCCTTGTTATTAGGAAATGACATTAATAACCCAGGAACAAAAATTGTGTTACATAGTTAAATCCAAGGCAAGGAAGCCATGGACTGAGAGGGGGTCATGGGAAAGAGTACAGGAGCCAATGCATTCAGTGACATGCAAGTAGAAAGAAATCAAAACTGTTTAGGAATCTATGACGAAGGAGGAGAGAAGGTCAGGACAACGGCTGTCTCCACTGCCCTCCAGCGACCAGAACGGCAAACATCTCTCCGCTGAACATGAAATCCCCGTTGCTCTTGGCCAGTATTTCTCAACCTTCCTAAAGCCATGACCCCTTAATACAGTTCTTCCATACGGGGACATGAGAGAAGCCTCCCACAAGGATGGTAAAACAACAAAACATCCAGGTGTCCTTGAAGACGGCCAATTCTCTCACACCAGAAGCAACTTGCAGTCTATCAAGTTGCTCCTGTCATGAAAAAAAAATGTTGTGATGTCCTCCAACTATAACATTATTTTTGTAAGAACAGTAGAGTCTTGCTTATCCAACATAAATGGGCCAGCATAACGTTGTATAAGCGAAAATGTTGGATAATAAGGAGGGATTAAGGAAAAGCCTATTAAAAGTCAAATTGTGTTGTGATTTTGCAAATTAAGCACCAAAACATCATGCTTTACAACAAATTGACAGTAAAGCAGTTCAATACACAGTAACATTAGGTAGTAATTACTATATTTATGAATTTAGCACCAAAACCTCACAATGTATTGAAACAGCTGTGGATCCTGGCGGGATGCAGAATGTGTTGGATTGAGCGAAGGTTGGATAAGCGAGACTCTACTGTACTTCATAATTGTAATTTTGCTACTGTTATTAATTGTAATAATTAATAACAGACATGGCTTTTCTACAGATGTCATGTGCAACTCCTAGAATGATTCCATCAGTGTTGCCTCCGAAAAATCCTGCAAATCTCTTGGGAAGACAAGTGGACAAATGTCAGTGTGCTGGAAGAAGGAAAGACCACCAGCATTGAAGCGATGGTCCTCCATCATCAACTCCGCTGGACCGGCCACGTTGTCCGGATGCCCAACCACCATCTCCCAAAGCAGTTGCTCTACTCCGAACTCAAATGGAAAACGGAATGTTGGTGGACAGGAAAAGAGATTTAAAGATGGGCTCAAAGCCAACCTTAAAAACTCTGGCATAGACACTGAGAACTGGGAAGCCCTGGCCCTTGAGCGCTCTAGCTGGAGGTCAGCTGTGACCAGCAGTGCTGTAGAATTTGAAGAGGCACAAATGGAGGGTGAAAGAGAGAAATGTGCCAAGAGGAAGGCGCGTTAAGCCAACCCCGACTGGGACTGCCTTCCACCTAGAAACCGATGTCCTCACTGCGGGAGAAGATGCAGATCAAGAATAAGGCTCCACAGTCACCTACGGACCCACCGCCAGTACACCGATTTTGGAAGATAATCCTACTTGGACAACGAGGGATCGCCTAAGTAAGTAAGTAAGTATTTGTAATATAAATATCTGATATGCAGGCTGTATTTTCATTCATGGAATTGAACCAAACTTGGCACAAGCCCTCAGCAGTGGGCTTGGGGGTTTGGTGGGCATTGACCTTGAGTTTTGGAGTTGTAGTTCACTACATCCAGAGAGCACTGTGGACTCAAAACAATGATGGATCTGTACCAAACTTGGCATGAAACTCAATATGTCCAAATGTGAACACTGGTGGAGTTTGGGGGAAAAGACCTTGACATTTGGGAGTTGTAGTTGCTGGGATTTATAGTTCACCTACAATCAAAGTGCATTCTATCGTTGGTGGGGTTCAGAATGCTCTTTGTAAGTGAACTATAAATCCCAGCAACTACAACTCCCAAATGTCAAGGTCTATTTTCCCCAAACCCACCAGTGTTCACATTTGGGCATATTGAGTATTTGTGCCAAATTTGGTCCAGATCCATCATTGTTTGAGTCCACAGTGCTCTCTGGATGTAGGTGAACTACAACTCCAAAACTCAAGGTCAGTGCCTACCAACCTTCCAGTATTTTCTTGGTCATGTGCCAAGTTTGGTTCAATTCCATGTTGGTGGAGTTCAGAATGCTCTTTGATTGTAGATTAAATATAAATCCCAGCAAGTACAACTCTCAAATGACACAATCAATCTCCCCCACCCCAACAGTATTCAAATTTGGGAATACTGTATTGGGTATTTGTGCCAAATTTGGTCCAGTGAATGAAAATACATCCTGTATAAGAGATATTTACATTACGATTCATAACAGTAGCAAAATTACAGTTATGAAGTAACAACAAACATAATGTATTGTTGAAGGCTTCTATGGCTGGAATCACTGGATTGTTGTAGGTTTTTCGGGCCATATGGCCATGTTCTAAAAGCATTCTCTCCTGACGTTTTGCCTGACGTTGCAGGCTTCTTCAGTGTGCAAATCTCACAACCTCTGAGGATGCCTGCCACAGATGCAGGTGAAACGTCAGGAGAGAATGCTTCTAGAACATGGCCATATAGCCCAAAAAACCTACAACAACCCAGGAAAGGAGCAAGAAGAAGGTGGCAGCAGCAGCCTAAAGTTTAAAGTGGGAGTCAGGTAGACAACCTTGGCAGGCCTTATTTTAGGGACCCCTGCTCTAATTGGTGCTGGACTGCAGCTCCCAGCATTTCTTAACCTTTGCTGGGAGCTGCAGTCCCACAACACAGTTTGACATCCCTGCAATAAAGGTTATTCGTTTCCCAAAGTGAGGCATCTCAGGCTCAGGGGGGAAACCGGACTGGTTTGCTTCTCTTGGGAACTTACAGCTACCTGGCAATGGCAGCCAAGTGAAAGAGCCAAGGAGTCTATTTGCACAGTGTTAGGGCTGAGAGTTGGGTCCGATTTCTTCATGTCCAGTGCTCAGATTGCAAATGTACCTTCTGTATTGTCATTAAAAAAAAAAGACTCTGAGGAACCCCAGGACTCTCTGTGCGCATTTGGATTATCAGAAAGTGAAGGAGTTGCTGTCTCTGCCACTTGCTCAAAAAGTTTTGGATTTTCAGAGATTTCAGATGTTGCAGGCTACCTCTAATGACATCTGACAAATACAGCAAAAAAATCTTTCTGTTAGTCAGTCAGTCTACCAGTTCATCTATTCACCTATCTATCCATCCATCCATCCATCCATCCATCCATCTATCCATCCATCCACCCACCCATCCATCTATCTCTATCTATCTTCTATCTATCTTCCATCCATCTATCTGCCTATCTATTCTATCTATCTGCCTGCTTATCTGCTTATCTATCTATCTATCTATCTATCTATCTATCTATCTATCTATCTCATCCATCCATCCATCCATCCATCTGCCTATCCATCCACCCATCCACCTGCCTATCTATTTTTTCTCTGTCCATCCATCTATCTGCCTATCTATCTATCCATTCATCCTTCTATCCATCTGCCTATCTAACTTATCTATCTGTCCATCCATCTGCTTATCTATCTATCATCTATCCATCCATCTGCCTAGCCATCCATCCATCCACCCACCCACCCATCCATCTATCTGCCTATCTATTTTATCTATCTGTCCATCCATCTGCCTATCTGCCTATCTGCCTATCTGCCTATCTATCTATCTATCTATCTATCTATCTATCTATCTATCTATCTATCTTCTATCATCTATCTATCCATCTGCCCATCCATCCATCTATCCATCCATCTGCCTATCTATCTATCAATCCATCCATTAATTCATCCATCTGCCTGCCTGCCTACCCACCTACCCATCCATCCATTAATTCAACCATCTGTCTATCGATCTATCGATCTACTTATCTATCTATCCATCCATCTGCTGATCTATCTATCTATCTATCTATCTATCTATCTATCTATCTATCTATCATCCATCCATCCATCCATCCATCTATCCATCCCACCCATCCACCTGCCTATCTATTTTTTCTCTGTCCATCCATCTATCTGCCTATCTATCTATCCATTCATCCTTCTATCCATCTGCCTATCTAACTTATCTATCTGTCCATCCATCTGCTTATCTATCTATCATCTATCCATCCATCTGCCTAGCCATCCATCCATCCACCCACCCACCCATCCATCTATCTGCCTATCTATTTTATCTATCTGTCCATCCATCTGCCTATCTGCCTATCTGCCCATCTATCTATCTATCTATCTATCTATCTATCTATCTATCTATCTTCTATCATCTATCTATCCATCTGCCCATCCATCCATCTATCCATCCATCTGCCTATCTATCTATCAATCCATCCATTAATTCATCCATCTGCCTGCCTGCCTACCCACCTACCCATCCATCCATTAATTCAACCATCTGTCTATCGATCTATCGATCTACTTATCTATCTATCCATCCATCTGCTGATCTATCTATCTATCTATCTATCTATCTATCTATCTATCTACCATCTATCTGCCTATCTATCTACCCATTCATCTGCCCATCTATTTGCCTGTCTATCTGTCTTCATATGTTTTCCATAAGGCAATTGTAACTAATGAAGTGTCAAGATGAATTCTCAAATTGACTCTACCAGCATGTCCAGTATTTTCAGCCTTCTCAATGGTAAAACTTAAATAATTCCCTACATGCTGTCCTCTGTCCCTGTGACATTACCTCTATCTGTGGCCATATTAATATGTTGCAGTTTGGCCACGAAGAATCCCTACCACCTTTGTCCTGAACCTGTCCTTAGTTTCAAGCACCAAGATGGAAATGAGATTCTAAGAGATGCATTGGGTGATCTATGGAAAGTGGTTGTCCCCTTGTGGCAGGTCAGTCCCCCCCCCCCGTGCCCCTCCTCACCTGCAAGGCCTCAGCCTCCTGCTCCTGGTTAGGCTTCTCTGGACAGCTCTTTGGGACACCATTGCCCAGGGTCCTGGACAGATGTATGGCCTTCCCATCCTCCTCATAAGCAGAGAGCAAGCTCAGCTCATAGCACTCCTGGATATCTGAAAGAGAGGCCCAGAAGAGGAGCAACTAAAGCTACCATATTGACTCGAGACTGCTGCACCATCGAATCGAATGGCACCTCAATTTCCAAAACTCTGAAAACAAAACAAAACAAAAAAAAAAGGATTTGGTGCCAAATGTCATGCGCAGTGGTGAAAGGTGCTTTCTTTGCAATTTAGAACACCAAAGCTTCCATCAATGGAAAAGAAAAACTTTGGGGTGCATCTATGCTATGGAATTAATTCACTTTCATTGCCTTGGTTCAATGCTATGGAGTCATGGAGCTGCAGTTTTGCAAGACCTTGAGCTTTCTCTGCCAAAGAAGGCTGACGTATCACCAAACTACAAATCCCAGGAACCCATCGTATTGAGCTGTGGCCATCAAATGAGAAATTAAGTCCCTGAAAGAGGAGCTCCTGAAGCAGCTTTCCATTTTGCTCAGCACTAAAATTTATTTATTTATTTACAGTATTTATATTCCGCCCTTCTCACCCCACAGGGGACTCAGGGCGGATTACAATGTACACATATATGGCAAACATTCAATGGCAAAGACACACGACATAGACAGACAGTCAGAGGCTATTTAACTTTTCTGGCCGCCAGGGGAGCTGTCGCTTTCATCGTCCATCTGCGACACTGATGAAGTACTTCCGCATTCCCGCATGCTTCTACATGCTTTGCTGGAGTCTTTTTTATGGCCTCGTAAATTCGTTAAATTAGCCTCCCCACACATAGGTGGTACCTAATTTTCCTACTTGACAGATGCAACTGTCTTTCGGGTTGCAAAGGTCGACAACAAGCTACACAATTGGTCGGAAGCTCACCCGGGCTGGCTTCGAACTCATGACCTTTTGGTCAGAAGTGATCTTAATGCAGCTGACACTCAGACAGCTGCGTCACAGTCCCGGTGACCGTATGATTAGAATCAAATGCACACTTTAATTTGAGTGAGGTAATTTTGCCCCCCCCCCCCCCCAAAAAAAAAGGTGAGCATTAGATTTGAATACATAGGGTACTTCTGGACATTCGGGTATCTTTTTGGCTTTTGACAGAGGGACCACAGAGGTGGAAAGGTAGATGGAAAGGTATCCCTGGATACCTTTCCATCTAGTCCCTCCTGGATCTTGATGAGCAGAATGAGACATAATATCATTCCAAGCAGAATAGAGTGGGACCTTGAGTTCCCCCCCCCCCCCCTTGATACTATGCTCCTATTGATGTAGCCCAGCATCACACTGGGTTTCTAAACTGCCACATCACAATCTTGGTTTATCCTCACCTACACTGCAATCCCCAGTGGATTAAATACACGTTTATTATTCCACAGTCTGACCAAAGCAGAAGAGAGTCGGGCTACAGTTTCCCTCTATCTTCCTATGGATGTAGCTCAGAATGGCATGGGTTTTTTGGGCTGCCGCATCACATTATTGGCTCATATTCAGGCTGTGATCTGCTTAGACTCTGTAATCATTTCCAGGGTGAGTTGTGTGAGATTTCTCAAATGACAACGGATACGATCCCCAGATTTTTCTCCAAACTATTTCTCATCTGGAAACCCCTCTTTGGGAAATGGCAGGTCTCATTTGCCTCCTGGAAGATATCCTCATCTTATTTTATGTGTGTATGTGTGTGTGTGTGTGGGATGGAGAAACAACCATAATCGCTGGGTTGTTGTAGGTTTTTTCGGGCTATATGGCCATGTTCTAGAGGCATTCTCTCCTGACGTTTCGCCTGCATCTATGGCAAACATCCTCAGAGGTAGTGAGGTATAATGTGTTTGGTACCACATTATTATTATTATTATTATTATTATTATTATTATTATGTTTATTATTATGTTTATTATTATGTTTATTCTACTACTTTTGTTTTCAGCACAAGTTGGCCCCTGAATTCTCTTTGGATACATCGACATTGTCATGGGAGTTTGTATTATTATTATTATTATTATTATTATTATTATTGTATTGTCGAAGGCTTTCATGGCCGGAATCACTGGGTTGTTGTAGGTTTTTCCGGGCTATATGGCCATGTTCTGGAGGCAATTTTTCTCCTGACGTTTCGCCTGCATCTATGCACCTCTCAACAAAAGATTCCCCCAGGCACTGCCAAGCCATCAAATGCTAATTAAGGTGGTCAGTTGAAACATTCACACCTAGCTCCAGCAGACAAGAGTCCTTTGTCCCACCCTGATCATTCCACAGATATATAAACCCATTTTCCTACTTCCAACAGACCTCACTACCTCTGAGGATGCTTGCCATAGATGCAGGCGAAACGTCAGGAGAAAATGCCTCTAGAACATGGCCATATAACCTGTAAAAACCTACAACAACACATTATTATTATTATTATTATTATTAGATACATAACAATATTAGTACACAGCGAACAAGATCACTATGCTAGCTTTTGTATTTGTTCACACGTCAGATACATCCCAAGTGTCTAGGACTGTGTAATGTATTGGTGAATAATGCATGCAGATCCAAGTAGAGTGGCCTTTTGCAGCTGACTACCTCTGGGGATGCTTGCCGTAAATGCAGGCGAAAGTTCAGGAGAGAATGCCTCTAGAACATGGCCATATAGCCCGAAAAAACCTACAACAACCCAGTGATTCCGGCCATGAAAGCCTTCGACAATACAACCATAATCTCTTTCCAAAATTGTTCCTTGTCGCAGAACTTTTGGAGAGCAAGCTGCAAAAGCCTTGCAAAACAGACGAGCAGATTTACTCGTGGATTAGGGTCCCCTTCATCGGTCATATGATCCTTTTTCTCACTGCCAGGACACTTGTGTAACCATGTAAAAAAAAAAGTATCATGTCGCCAATATTTTCATTAATGGACAGGACTAATAAGGAAAGAATATCACAATAGGAAATGAAATGAATAACCCGCCAAAAAAAATCGTGTTACAGTGTTAGAGATGAGGTCCCTCAAAAAGGAGCTCCAGACACAACTTCCCCTTTGGTTTTGGCTCAACACTAAGACGACTGTATGACACGAATCTAATGCACATCCTAATTTTGAGGAGGCCATGGAGCCCAGTAAGGTGAGCATCAAGTAAACATGGTAATTTCCTCCTTGGAGAAACGGCTCCCAAAACATGCCAGGTGCACCATGTCCCTCTCTGGTTCTTACCCAATAGTGCCTGGAAGAGCTCGCTTTTGAAGATGTGGAGGACCTTCTCGAGGGAGACCTGCAGCGGCTCTTCTGCCGGGGAGCAGAGGGTGCCTTGATAGCGAGAGAGGATCTCCACCGCGCGGCGAGTGTCTGCCAAGACAAGGCCGGAGGGCATGGCGCCTTTCAAATCCAGGGCCCAAAAGGTGGATTAAAGACAGCTACAATACCAGAAAATAGTTGTTTCCTTGCAGGTCAAAGATCCCAAGACACCATGCGGCACACCATTATGACGATGAGTAAGCTTATTCTACTACTTTTGCTTTCAGCACAAGTTGGCTCCTGAGTTTTCTTTGGGTGCATCTACTGTAGGATTAATGCAACTTGGCACCATTATTATTATTATTATTATTATTATTATTATTATTATTTATGTTTATTCTACTACTTTTGCTTTCAGCACAAGCTTCCCCGAGCTCTCTTTGGGTGCATCAACATTGTTGGATTAATGCAGTTCGGTACTGCTTTAATTACTGTTGTTGTTGTTTATTCTTCAACTTTTGCTTTCAGCATAAGTTGGCTCCTGTGCTCTCTTTGGATGCATTGACATTGTCGAATTAATACTGTTTGTCACTGCATTGTTGTTATTATTATTATTATTATTATTATTATTATATTAGAGACATAACAATATTAGTACACAGCAAACAAGATCACTATGCTAGCTTTTGTATTTGATCACACGTCAAACACATCCCAAGTGTCTAGGACTGTGTAATGTATTGGTGAATAATGCATGCAGATTCGAGTAGGGTGGCCTTTTGCACCTGACAGATGGTAATTTTGTCAACGCCAATTGTTTTTAAGTGCAGGCCGAGGTCTTTAGGCACTGCACCCAGTGTGCTAATCACCACTGGGACCAACTTTACTGGCTTGTGCCAGAGTCTTTGCAGTTCGGTCTTTAAATCCTCATATCGTGTAAGATTTTCCAGATAATAATAATAATAATAATAATTATTATTATTATTATTTATACCCTGCTTTTTATCTCCACAAAGGCCTCTTCCACACATCTGTTTTAAAATTCACATTGAACTGGATTATATAGCAGTGAGGACTCAGATAATCCAGTTCAAAACAGATGTGATTTTCTGCCTTGATATTCTGGGTTATATGGCCGTGTGAAAGGGCCCAAAGGGAACTCAAAGCGGCTTACATTAAAAGCCTTTCAATATCATTTAAAATCTACAAATATACAAATATGAAAACAGAATGAAACACCAGTGGTATATTTTTAAAATTGCAGTTAACATCCATCAAAACATATTCAGAGGTAAAAACGAGCCCTTTGCTTGATCAAGCCCTTTGCTTGATCTTAAAAACTCTCTTCTTTAAAAGCCAGCCTGAATAAAAAGGTTTTAGCCTGCAGATGGAAGGACTTTACTGTTACAGAATTATGGGAGTTGTAGTTTTACAAGGATCCTCTGCCAAAAGGGCATAACCTAGACCCACGGCGGTTCAAGGGATGCTGAAGTACACTAAGTCTGTTGCATAGGTGCACCCAGGGTCATGACAACAAATGCAAGTTTGTTGTGCACCGCAGTCTCCAACCAATACTTCCCAAGGAAACCTCCTTTCCCAAGCAAAGCACAATGGAAGGTGGGATATATAGATGTAGATACACACACACACATATATACGCACACATAGTATGAAAGTCTTATAAAGGGTTAGTTTAATCCTTGATTTACTAGTAAAACTGAATGACCATGTTGTGAAAGGACGCATGTCTCAAAAGCATGTCCTCAACATGAAAAGTTCGGAAAGATCTGCTCTATAGTAAATCCAAGCCATGCAGCAAGTAGAAAGTGCTTTACCTGTTGAACCTCTGCCTGATGTTCAATCTTTAATAGTTCAGAGGCAGTCCTATAAGAACTGAAAGGTACAACAACAACAACAAGGAAGATATTCTATGCTTTGTAGGGATTTCAGGCAGTGGAGCAAGAAAGAAGAATGTTTGCGCCTGTTGAGCTTCTGCCTGAAATGCAATAATAGCTCAGGGTCAGCTCTGAGAAGAGAGAGGTCAAGGAAGGGAAAGATTCAACTCAAAGGAGGTTTTCAGCAATGCAACTAGAAGAAAAGAAAGAAGAAAGCGCTGCACCGGTTGGGCGTCTGCCTGAAGTTCAATGTTTAATAGCTCAGAGCTAGTCCTGTCAGCTAAAGCTGCAAACCCAGTATGCAACTAGTAAATAAAAAGAATGAAGTGCTGCATAATCTATATAAATAAAAATGTAATGTTTATTTGTGGGATTAACAGAACTCAAAAACCACTGGACGAATTGACACCCAATTTGGACACAAGACACCTCTCAGGCCAAGAGTGACCATCACTCATAAAATACTGAAAAACACAGCGGAAAGACTTTAAAAGCCAAAAAACAAAAAACATTACAACACATGCACAAAGCCACATATATATACACAACACAAATATATACACACAATATGCAAATATACCAAATATATATGCAAGCACATATATATACAAAACATATATACACACATATATGCATATATACACACACAAAACACACACAGGAAGGATAGGAAGGAGAGAAGGAGAGAGAAAAAGAGGGAAAGAAGGAGAGAAGGAAGGAAAGAAGAAAGGTAGAGAAGAGGGAAGAATAAAAAAGTAAAGAAGGAAGGAAAGAGAGAGAGACGAAAGAGAGAAAGAGGGAAGGAAGGAAGGAAGGAAAGAGACAAGGAAGGATGGAACCAAAGAGCAAAGGAAGCGAGAAAAGAACAGAGAAGAAAGAAGAAGGAAAGAAAAGAGGGAGGAAGGAAGGAAGGAAGAGACAAGGAAGATGGAACCAAAGAGCAAAGGAAGAGAAAGAAACAGAGAAGGAAGAAAGATGGGAAAGAAAAAGAGGAGAAGGAAGGAGGAAGGAAGGAAGGAAGAAGGAAGGAAGGAAAGAGGGAGGAGGGAGGAGGGGGGAGGAAGGAGGAAGGAGGAAGAAGGAAGGAAGGAAGGAAGGAAGGAAGGAAGGAAGGAGAGAAAGAGGAGAGAAGGTTGGCCACAGCAACGCATGGTGGGTACAGCTAGTTAATTGTATATATGTGTGTTTATATATATGGGTCAGTTGGCCCCATATCAGCTGGTCGCGTCTCGCTGCCCCGCATCTGCAGACACCCTTCGGTTGGAGAACAAAGGCCCTCTGTCTCAGACCCCAAAACGGGGGCAGCCCCTTCCACTAACTCCCAATGAGGGTCTGGAGACCCCAGAACAAGGGCCTTGTGTTTGGAGACCCAAAGCCTAGTCTTTCTCCCAATGAACCCTCCCAATGAGACCCTCCTTCCTTGACTCCAAGCCCCTGCCCATTCGACACAGAACTTGGGAGACATTCCTTCTCATTTGGATTACAACTCCCAGCACAACTGACTTTTTTGAGGAGGGAGGATTCTGGGAGTTGTGATCTAAACAAGAAGGAGCTCCGCCTGGAAGAAATCCTTTTTTGTTGGGGCCAAAGGGAAGCAAACACCCAAGGCAGGAAAGAAGTTGTTCATAATATTAAAGTTGTGTAGGGCTCTCCTGCTTCCAAAATGATGGAAGAGCTTTCAAAACTGTGTGTCGGGATGCATGAGTGTGTCGCCTGGAAAAGGCTCCCCGCAATGGAAGAGACCCCCAATGGGCATCCAGCCCACCCCCTTCATCTTGAAAGGAAACCCTCCCAACAGACAACCATCCAGCCGGTTGACAATGATATTTGTGATGAACCCTATGGAGCGACTATAGGGAACTACACAACAATCCACTGTAGGACATAAGAAGTGTAAAGGGAAAATTTCCAAACCTTGTTTATACAGTAAAGATATATATACTGTATAAGCCTAGTTTTTCAGCCTTTTTTTTTAGGCTGAAAAAGTCCTTGGCTTATACTCAAGTCAAGGTTATTTATTATTTTACTCTGCTATTATTATTATTATTATTATTATTATTATTATTTTCATTTATTATTTTATTCTATTTATTATTATTATATTTATCATTTTACTCTATTACTATACATGTATTATTTTACTGCATAATTGTTATTGCTACATTCATTATTTTACTCTTTTTATTATTGTTGTTATTACATTTATTATGTTACTCTCTTTATTATTATTGGAAGGATACGTAAGCACATTTACATTGAAGAAGGTAAATAATCATTTAATCAGAGTTGGACAGTCTTATCTTAAATTACCATTTTTGTAAATATTCAAAATATATAACCTACTGATTCCTCAATTAATGTAATTTAATTGGTATCTATTTTTATTTTGCAATTTACCAGTAGCTGCTGCATTTCCCACCCTTGGCTTATACTCGAGTCAATAAGTTTTCCCAGTTTTTTGTGGTAAAATTAGGTGCCTCGGCTTATATTCGGGTCAGCTTATACTCGAGTATATACGGTATGGGGGGGGCACTTCACAAGTTATAAACACCCAATGTACAAATGACTCCTAGTTAAGAAGGGGGGGGGGGGGGGGCTGAGACAACAGGAAGTGAGAGAAATTCAGTCCTGGAAGAGTTATTATCATGAGGGAAAAGGGGTCTCTCCAATGAAGCTTTATCACAATATTTGTTTCCACAACAAGCCAAATATTGCAAAATCCAATGATCACACGGAGAGAAAGGGAGGTGAAACCTTCTGAACAGAGACACAGACAGCAAAGGAAACGCCACATGGGTATTCACCCTACCCTATGCCACCCAAAGCTTAAAAACGTGCCTGGAGTTACACTTAAAAATGTCCCTGTTCTGACTTACATACAAATTCAACTTAAGAACAAACCTACAATGCGTAACTTGGGGACTGCCTATATATATATACTACCTGTACCTGCCATGCATTGCTGTGGCCAATCTTTCCTCCCTCTTTCTCTCCTTTCTTTCTCTCCTTCCTTCCTTCTCTTCCTCTTCCCTTCCTTTCCCCCTTTTCTTTCCCTTTTCTTTTCTCCCCTTTCTT